TAATAATGTATTATTATTTTAAAATACTAATATATTTACATAATATATATATATATTTAATTATAATTATTTTTATTATAATATATATGCATTAGTAATGATATATATATATATTGTAGTTATGTGTATATGTGTTTTATTAATTATAAATAATTTTATTTTTAATATATATATATATATATTTGTATATATATATGAATTTATATGCATATATTAATTTAAATACATGTAGATGAATATTTGAACATTTAATAATATTTTTGAATGATGAGTCAGCAGTTTTTTGCTGAGTCAGCAGTTTTTTTTGCTGAGTCAACAGTTTTTTGCTGAGTCAGCAGTTGCATTTGTTTGATTTGGAAAAAATTTAAAAGTCTAGGTATTTATATGGGAGTTTTGAAAAGTTCAGGTATTTATATGACAATTTTATAGTTCGGGTATTTTTATGTGATTACCCCTTTTCTAAATAATTTTTTAATAAAATTTTTAATTTTATTGGTTTTCTTCTTGTTGCCGGTCCGGTTTCGATCAAATTAGATTTGAAGTATTAAAATCGAATCCGATTCTGTTCCATCGTCATTCAATTTTCAGAGATTCTAATTTCTTAAACCGGTGGGTTTGCTTTGCAACGCGGTTTAGTGTTTACTTCGAAATGCGTTCGACTTCTCGTCTTCCCTCAGGATCAAGAACCCCAAATCTCTGTCTCTCTCTCTCTACAAGAACACAGAAGATCACGATGTGGGTGGAGATCATCTGCGGTTTGGTAATATACAAACTGATTCGACGGTTTTTCTCCGATGATGATTTCTCCGACGTCGAGACCTCCGATTCCACAGCTCTCTTTTCCGTTGCTCACAGGTACTTTATATTCATACATACATCTATGGCTGTTTTTGGTTCTCGATCGTTTTGTTCGAGTTTCTTCCGATTTTTCGAAGGACACGAATGAATTCAAATTCCTCGTAGTTCATATAAATGGAATCGCTGTTTGAGGTTTCTGTCTCGCAAAAATTGCAGACTCGAGAAGCTTTATGGTGGGAAAGCTTACGTGGGTCTTCGAGTTCCCGATGCCGACACTGTCTCCAGACAAGACATTGATATAGTCCTCGTAACTAAAGGGTAATTTGTATTAACAGCTAGTGAGAGCCACTTGAATTTGTGGGTGGTTTTGATTCATGTGAATCACGAAGAGCGATTTTGCCTGACTTGGGGAGTGTTTGTTCATTCAGGGAAGCTGTGGTGATCTCTGTCAAGAATCTCTCTGGGTTTGTGTCCGTCAGGAGCGATGGAAGCTGGGTTTGCGAAGGTGGCAAAAGCCACAGAACTGAAACTTATCCTGATCCAGTATGCTGTTCTGATTTCATTTTCTGTTGCTTGTGTAGTGTTTTGCCTTGCCTTTTTCATTTCGTTTCGTGTCACGTTTCACATGAATCATCACTTAATTGGAGTGGTAGGTTTCCATTCTTTGTGGAATGGCAATAGTTGAATCAATCTACTGGATTTTGTTTCATGATTCCATGATGTCATATTTCTAATTATTGAAAGGTGATTTTTTTTCAGGTTGCAGAAGTCAAGAAACAAGCTTCAGTTCTTGAATCATATCTGGAGCAGAGAGGAGTTTCTTTGCTAGAAGGAAATCTGTCCTGTAAAGTTGTTATCCCAAATCCAAATTTTCGGTATGTGTTCCAAACCTTGTTACAGTAGGTCTGTTTTTATGCTCATAGACATGTTTGTATCCTCGTCACAAAGCTACGGACCAAAATCTCGGGTAGAGAAGTAGAACACACATTGTCTGAATACGATCTTCTCTTTTTCTGAGTGGTGTGAAATATTTGTTTATGTTATTTCAGTACTATTCATGCCTTTCCATCTGAGGTAATAACCTACGAGGAGTGGACACATCTGAAACCAGTTTCGAGAGGTGCATTTTCCAGTTGGGTTAAGGGTGCGTTCAGAACTGGAAAGGAGATGCAGGAATCGTTGCAACAAAAACTCAATTTCGTCCTTGGCACAGCGCCCATGTGGGATAGGTCATACCTCTTCTTTTTATTGATATTTCCATTTCATTGGGTGGATGGGTATCTCGAAGAATCAATATCTGGGTTTGAAAGTTTTCGTTAATAGACGAATTATCAATCTTGAAAAATGTATATGCAGGTTGGAACTTAAAAGCAACAAAATTGTCTTAGGAGAATTCCTCGAGTTTAAAGGGAAGAGTGAAGACACCTTGGCTTTGGGAAACATTAAAAGATCCAAAGTCGATCGTGTATCTATCCAGAAGACGAGCATGTTTGGATTAGGTTAGTACTCTCCCCACAGGCTGCCTTGTTATCCCTGTTCAAGGTTACATCATTGTCTGCTGCATGGGCCTCGGTTTTCATTAACTTCATGAACATTCTCGTTATCTTTGGCATTTTTGCATATTTCTTTCATTACTAGTTGTATGTGAATGATATCAGCATATGTATCTTCCGTATCATCTATGGAGTTATGGAGATTTTTTTTATTTAACCTTTACAGTTCAAATTTGTGATTTCAGCTCCAACGAAGCTCCAGGTTCTGTACTCGTTTAGGGACTACCGAAGCGAAGGCAGTTCATCCTCATCATCGGAATGGAAGGAAGTGACGGTAAGGTCAAGTACGGAGGTTGTGTTTCAGCTACGAGACACTGCAAAAATCAAGAAATTCAAGCTATCATCCATTGTTTCGATCTCGTTCAGCGCATAAGAAGCCGACCAACATGTTCAGTTACGCTGTTTTCATGTGCAAGAGCTTGATCCCGTGACTTGGAAAGGTTGTAATTGTCTCGTATATGAAGTCTAACATCGTCATTGACGCTTGATAGCTGGATGCAATGAAATGAGTTGTGAGTTAGTTTTTGTATGCTTCTCTCCATTGTTGGCAACTGTATTCTTCAGCCCTGCTCGAGTCCGAGGCTGAAGGAAGAGGCTTTCGTGCATCGGAAAATCCTCTTTTAACGTGCTTATCTGTTCGACATCGATCTCTTTCATGGAGTTGAACCGTCGTAGTTGGGAGGGTATGCATACATGTTTGTTTGTATGTACGTACGTACTTAAGGTTGGATGTGAAAGACGCATATTGATCATTTTTGCCAAGAGTGGAACTCATCCAGTATCACGACTGTCCTAACAAAAAAAATTCTACAAAATTCCACTAGAAACAATACACGAAAATGGGAAGAGAAGCAAATGAAGATATCAAAAGGTAGTATATTGTTACTGCCTTTTAACTAAAGGTGGTCTGCTGTTAATGACTATGTATACACACATGTATGTATGTGTGTATGCATGTATATATATATATATATGTATATCCATGTATGTATGTACGTACGTGTTATCACTTTTGCCAAGAAAGGAATGCATTCAACATCATGACTACCCTAATAAAACAGTCCACAAATTCCGAATATAGTCATTCCCATGTATCTCCATCATCATCACCATCACCATCACCATCATGGGCATAAATCTAATCCCAGATCAAGAACGAGATCCTAAACAGAACAAATCCTTCTTCAATTTTAAGCTATACTCTTGAATTTAAAGGCAAAACAATTCAAACAAGAAAAGATTAGCTGCAAAGATAATAGCATCACAGTGCACTCATAGTATCCTCTTCCTACTTCTGGCTGCTGCTGCTGTATGTGCTCTTCTTCTTAAGCAGATTTCCGAATTTTCGGAGCAAAGGCTTCTTTTTCTTGTGTTGTTGATCCTTTGTCAGTACACTTCCACCTTCATCAGGCTGTTCCATTGAGGATAACCCATTGGTGAGATGATCGAAGTTACCACTGCCTTCTCCTTTTGCTTCGTTTTCCTCTTCGACCCACTCTTGCTCGGCCTCTCTTTCTGGAGAAACTTCCTTCTTGAATTCAACTGAGTCTTCTGCAGTACCTTCGTCTTTCTCGTTTGGTTTTCCTTCTCCACTGCCCTCAACTTTGGGAGCTGTCAACTGGTTTGCTTCATTATCCACTGAATCTGTAACAATCACTTTCTTGAAAGTATCTTTTTCGATCACTTGCTTCAAAGTTTCTTGTATGGTCTGTTCTCTGGTTTCCAGATGAAAAGATTCGGTTTTTGTGATCTCTTCCCCACTTCTGGTACCATTTGCCTCGGCCAACTCCACAGCTTTCGGAAACAAGTCACAGTCTTTCTCACTGTCGGTGAGCTCACCATTCTCCTCTCGTTTCATTTTGGCGGAAGAAACTTCTTCTAGCAACTTTGATAATTCCTCAACCTTCCTAAGAGCTGAAGTCTCCCTGGATTTTAGCTCATCATTATCATTGATAAGGCTCTGCAACTCGGTTTCTTTATCAAGCAGACTTTCTTTTAGCTTTGAAAGCTCCTCTATCTTCCTAGTCGATGAAGCTTCCCTTGTTTTAAGATCATGATTTTCCTGAAGGACACTTTGAAATCCATTTTCTTTATCAAGCCAACTTTGCTCGAGATGTAGCAATTCCTCAATCTTCTTCAAAGATGAAGCCTCCTTGGCCTTAAGCTCCTCGTTTTCGTGGATGACAGCCTGCAACTCATTCTCTTTCTCGAGCAAACTTTGCTTGAGATTTGACAACTCCTCAATCTTCTGAAGTGATGATACTGCTTTGGCCTTAAGCTTTTCATTTTCGTCAATAGCAGCCTTCAGCTCCTTTTCTTTATCGAGCAAACTTAGTTCAAGATTTGACAACTCCTCGATCTTCTTAAGCGATGAAGCCTCCTTAGACTTCAGCTCCTCGTTTTCACAAATGACACCCTGTAATTCGTTCTCCTTGACGAGCAAACTCTTATTAAGATTTGATAACTCTTCAATCTTCCTTTGGGATGAAGAGTTCTCAGCTTTAAGGTCCTCGAATTCAAGAATCAAACTCTTCAACTCATTTTCTTTGTCAAGTAGATGCTCTTGCAGCTTTGACAACTTCTCAATCTTCTTAAGGTAAGCTGCCTCCCTTTCTTTGAGCTCTTCTTTTTCATGATTAGTGCTAAGCAGTTCTGATTCTTTATCTGCTAGGATCCCATTCACCTTTGACAACTCCTCAATCTTTTTAAGATAAGCAGATTCCCTTTCTCTGAGCTCCTCACTTTCTTTAACAACAGTTTGCAGTTGTGTTTCTTTATCAACTAAGCTCTCATTCAACACCGAAATCTCCTCGATCTTCTTAAGATAAGCAGCCTCCCGTCCTCTGAGCTCCTCACTTTCTCGAACGATCCTCTGAAGTTCGGTTTTTTTCTCAGCCAACATTTCCTTCAATATTGATAACTCATCAATCTTCTGAAGATAAGCAGCCTCTCTTCCTCTGAGCTTCTCAGCTTCTTGAATAAGGGTCTGAAGCTTGGTTTCTTTATCAACCAAAGCTTCATTCGCTTTTGACAACTCCTTGATTTTCTCAAGAGAAGAAGTTTCCCTTTCTCTGAGATTGTTGTTTTCAACAATGATACTTTTTACCTCTTCTTCTTTCTCCAACAAGTTTCCTTTATGCTCCATGCTCTCAGCTTTCGCTTCTCCAAGAGCATCTTGCAAGTACTTAACCTCCACCTCTAGTTCCTTAAGATTGCTTTTTAACTTGGCTTCTTCTTCCTTTGCAGCAAGTACTTCACCCTCACTTTCTTTAAGCAAATTCTCCAGCTTGTTTATCTCCTTCTGCATAGAGGAAGTTTCTTCCTCTGTTTTTTTCATACAATCAATCAAATGATGTTCTTGTTGTTCCCATCCAGTCTTAGAAATCTGGAACTCATTCTTTGCCTTCTCGAGAGCACTTGTCGAATTGGCAATTTCATGCCTCGCATCTTCAAGCATTTTCTCATACTTTTCATTTGTTTCTTTCACAACCATCTTCAAACTTCCAATCTCAGCTATGCGGCTCTCAAGCTCTGCTTCACATGCCAGGAGCTTTGCCTCCGCTTCCTGCTTTTCACTGGATACTTCCTGCAATGCCACCTTTAAGCTTTCAATAGCTTTCTTGCTCTCCTCTTCTTCCTTCTTCAATCTTTCCAACTCGCTTTCAAGGTCCCTCTTTCCTTTTAGTAGGTTCTGAATATCTGCTGTTGCAGCCTTTTCATTTTCCAGTGCCCTAGCTTTTTCCTCTTCTGCCACTTTAAGATCAGATTTCATTGTTTCAATGAGTTTTTCCAGCTTAGAACTTTCGTCATTTGCCCTGCAAACTCGGCGTTCTGATTCCCCAAGATCTTGCTTTTGTTGTCCAATCGTCGCCTCTAACAACTCTACTTTCTCTTTTAGTGCATCGCTGTCTGACTTTGCCTCATGCAGCAACTGACTGTTTTCCTCTAACTGTCTCTTAACAGACTCCAGAGATTCTGAAGCAGATCTCTTCGATTTGTTTGATTCTTCAACTTGTTTCTCCAGTTCATCGACCTTGTTCTTCCACTCTTCTGCTAAACTATTAGCACAAGATTCAGCCATTTTAGCAGCTTCTAGATCAACCTGAAGCTGCTCAAGGGCACCTTCTTGCTCCTTCAGAGTTTTCTCAAGGACATTAACTTTTTCAAGCTCCCCCTTCAACATTTCGATTTCAGATTTCAGCTTGGACACCATCTCGTTTCCTTCTATAGCCACTTTTTCTTCCTTTGAACCAAGCAAGGCCTTTAACCGGCTTAACTCAGAAGAAAGAATCTCCACCTTCTCAGCCTGAATTTCGGCAATTTTTGTGGCTTCCTCGGCATGGTTGAGTGCCTTGTTCTTGGCATCAGCTGTCATAGCCAATTCTTGTTTTACCCTCTGGAGTTCTTCTCTGGTAGATACGAGAGCTGAAATGTCCAAAGCGTTCTGATTTCTGATAGATTCAATCTCTTTCAGCCACCCCTCTTCTTTTCTCTGAACAGCCTCGATTCCTGTCTGTTCAAGTTCAAGAGCTCGGAATTTCTCAATCTCGGAATCCTCCTCAGCTTGTTTCTGAGCTGCCAACGCCTCTCTGAGTTTCTCATTGGCTTCTTCTGCCGATTTCTCAGACTGTTCAAGATCATCAAGTGCCTTAGCTTTCTCTTTCTTGAGAAATTCTATTTGCTCGTTGGATTTTCTTAGATCTTCTTGAACTTGATTCAGTTGAGCCCGCAGGTCAGATACCTTTGCTAACCCCAACCGAGATTGTGCTTTCTGAAATATCACAATAAAAACACAGATCAGCTTTTACCCAAGAGGAAAAGCCTTCAAAATGTTGCAGACGAAAGCCATGGGCATACAAAAACTAGCTTTTATATCAGTGCATCAGACCCTACGATCTTGAAAAACTCCAATTATAACCTTCCAAGTTGTAGATTTATTCTTAGCCAAGGAGCTGCATTCCCCCAAATGAATACAATATCTCGAAATCTTGTAGTTTGCAATTCCATTTAAGCACTTAGACTTCACCAAACCAGCATGCTCAAGATGCACAAAGTCCATACAATTCACTCAAAACCAAAAACAACAATAACAAGAATGGAGAATGTCGGTTACTTGCCTCAGGTGGAGTAGGGACACGAGCATTTCGACGATCAGTAACAGCCTTCGAGTTAACTGATTGTGGGGATCGGTCAAGAGAAAGACGCGAACTTGGCGGCGGGGACTGTGAATTGCCGTCTGATTTAGACGAAAGTTTACTCACCCTGGATGTTGGTGGGGAAGGTTTGCTCCGAGGAGTCTCCATTAACCCGGTTCTGTGATAAACCATAACAATCACCACAATGTCACAAAATATCAATGACCAAATGAACAATACAGAACATCATCTCCAAAGCTGTCAAACAATGGATCTACATTATACATAAACAAACAAAATGGGAACAATTTTACAAGGGGCTTAGGCATAATTTGCACCGAATATTCAGGATTCAACATTTTCTGCTCGGCTAAGGAAACTCATGAACATATTTGCTAGGATCAGAGCCTGTCCATCTCATGATGCAGATCCAGTTACCAAAAATGCATATGGTTTCGATCTATATACATATTATGATGTTTGGAATCTGATTGGCGGGCAGATGATCCAACGGCAAATTCACTCAAGAGTACAGTTGATGGAAGAGAGAACAGAAAAAAATCACAAGATCGAGTAATGACAAAAGCAAGATGCTTTCACATTACAAAGTTCCTGGAGAAGACTTTCGAAATCGCAGAGACCAAAAGGAAAGTTGGGATTTTGATTTTTGTAAAAAATTTTCAAGATCCAAACCAAATGTGGTGAGTTACTCAGACAGTGAAGCAGAAAAATCAGATGAGAATTGGGAACAGAAGCAACAAAAAATGGATCACAGATGATGTTCCGTATGAAAAAGAGCTGACCTGAGAATGCGACAAGCAGTACCCGACACACATTCCATTCGGACAAAGAACATCAGAACACAAACATCTCAGATCCAATTGTCACTGAACTAAAGAGAGGTTATTCCAGAAAGAAAAAAAATACCCACTTGGTTCTCGACGCCATTGTTGTCGCAGGAGAAGAGTTTCACACGCAGGAGACAATACTGAATGCGGGAAGAACGAAGATTCAGAAGAAAACCCAAAACGCAGACAGGAGAAATGAATGCTCGCCGCTAAATTCCCGACATGACTGCGAGAGAAACTAACGAGAACCCAGATCGACTCTGGTCTCTCTCTTTCTTCTTCCTCGGTTCGAATTGATTGCTACTCCACAAAGTATTTAGCTTTTGCACCGAACACGAATATTGTTTTTTTATATTAAAGAAAGAGAAGAGAGAGTACAAAATGACTCGTAATGGGTTATGCTGTCTCCAGAGTGGTCACCCTCTCTCTCTCTCTCCACCATGTTAGCTTTTCTTCTCCTTCGATTCCCATCTCTGCTTTCTTTCTCTCCTTTTATGGTCTTAAATCCTGTAATTAGATTAAATAAATTAACTCATGCAACAACAAAAAAAATCCAATATCAATATACAAATTAACTCCTATTAAATACACAGATTTTAGAATTCTCAAAAAAAGAAAATACTAAATTTTCAGACTCTTATTTACAATAAACTATTTTATTTCATGCATTTATAAATTTTTGGAAAAGTTCGTGTATTTTCTCTATAATTTTCTAGAAATATTTATAAATTTTATGATTTTTATTAAAAAATTTAAAATATTTTTCTTACAAATTTTAAAATTTATATATCAATTTAGAAATCAACGATAAAGTTAATATATTTACACCTAATTTTTCTAAAAATAAATGAACTAGCAAAAGGGGACAAAACAAGATAGAGCCGTGAAAAAGACTGAAGAAGTGGTTTAGAATGACGAAAGTACCCCTGGGTAAATCTTTATTTACCGTGTATCCATCAAATAGTGGCGCGTGTGTGGGGACCAGCAGTATACTTTTGTCGTGTGGTAGATTTTTTATTTTACTTTTTTGTAATTGGTAAAGGAAAATCTCCAACGATCTGATTTACAGATTGATTTTTATTTTAATTAAAAAAAAAAGGGTTCATGTGGACTGACTCATGTGCCTTTCAATAATTTTTGTTTCCACTTTATCGGCTTTGTGTTGGCTGCCTTTGGATCATAAAACTTTCACGCATTTCTTCTTTAATTACTCTAAAATATACGTTGAGTTGAAAGCCATCAGATAGTCCTATTATATTGGCGATTGTATTCTTAATAGTTCATATAATATATTTCTAGAATCGGATTTTAATCTCTTATTTATGAATTTTTATTTTCAGGTTAATGCGATAAAGATTACATAAATATTTTGATGTTGGAGTTGTTTTTCGCATGATCCTTGTTTGATAAAAGCCACTATTATAATCTAATGCATTGCGATAATGAAGTCGTATAATAAAATCAAGTTGATCCCTTAAAGTAATTTTTCTCCATATATTATAATGTTATATACACAACATAACACAGCACCCTTATTAATAATAAACACGTGAAATTATTTGACAGGAGCTGTAATTGAATTGGCTGTGTAATGATGCAAGATTTCTAAATTTATTGATGTGATTTTTCATCTTATTATGGAATTCGATTTCTCAAAGCTGTACAAGTTAGGTTTATTGGATTGTCGTTAGAACAAAAAAAAAATAGTAACTAATGATTGAACACGTATCCATATCCAAAATAATATAATTCACCGTAATTTCAGAAAAAATCCATAAAAATTCTTCAACAATCTAAACTTTTTATTTAACAAATTTATTTCCTAAAATGTGTCATAATTTTCAAACTCGTTGATTAATCTCAGAAAAAAAATCTCAACAATATTGATTTAAAACAAGTTTAAAAATTCTAACAACATATTTTACAAATTTAGAAATTATACTGACACATTTTGTAAGTCTGAAAGTAAATTTGTTAAAATTAAAGTTTAAAAGTTTATTTTACACCATTTTATAAGTCTGAGAAAAAAATTTGTTAAGAGAATTTAGAAATGTATTTTTCACCGTTACAAATTTGTATGGATTTACCCTGATTCCAACAATTTTGAAAATAATTTTAAACAAGATCTATCCAAAGCCATAAGAGATAATTATTTCGGGCTTCGGTCTAAGTTCGGTTTGATTGTCATAGAGATCTCCACACAATAATCTCATTATGGTTTGTTAACTTAAACCACACGTCAAGTAAAGTCTCGTTCGTTGCATTTTACCCTTTCTGCTTCATACCTAATTTGAGTAATTTGCACCGAATCCAATCTCACCAAACGCCTCGAGTATCAAGTCATATCCATACTTTCCTTTTCAAGGATCCATCCATTACCCCATAACCAACGATTTTGTTCCTCGCTAATGACACCATTACTCGCTGCTAATCGGGATTAGTTCGACTGGTTCAATCCCGAGATAAACCTCTCTTTAAAGAGGTTTATGTGATTATTGACTCAAGACTTCGAGCAAACTAGTCCAATCCAAAAGGTCTGGAGATCTTATCTACAAAGTTCGTCCGGGTTTTTTTGTCCCGTTCTTCGCATAAACCTGAAAAAAAAACCCGGAAAAAGCTTTAACCAGATTTAGAAACAGAGAAGGTGAATGGTAAATGTAAACAATTCAAGTGTACATAAGAATATATAAGATCTCTATTGGAGAAGAGGCTATGCTAGAAATTTTGTGAAGGGGTGCAAGGGAGAGTGAGATTACAGTACAACATCAATCAGCGTCGTCATAGGAAAGGTGAGAAGTTGTGACGCAGCCGGGTGCCTCGGGGTCCTCTGCCCCGCAACAGTCGTAAAACTTGGCCGCATATGGTGGATCATTCGGTCCAAGCTCATAGTACCTACACATTTACAGTAGCAACGATGTATAAGCTTCTGTCAGTTCATAAACTAGAGACTATGGTTAAACTGATGCATCATATTACCAACCCGACAAAAAATGAAACGATCCAGATTTTATATGAAGTCAGACACATTCCCTCATCAACATTCCAAATGAAACGACCAGATATTGTACTTCTTTTTTTGTATCAGAATAGGACAAAAACCGTACCTAAGTCCCTTGTCCTGTTAGCCTTGTTTTCAAGAACAGGGCCTCAGCTTACCTAGTGATTAGTACCTGGGAACTAAATGAGATTTTGATGTTCCAGTATTTTGGCTGCAGGTTTTGATAACGGAGGATGGTTCTGGATTAAGTATTATGTTCACTTTTACAGCCTAGAGGTAGAGGGCACGAGCACAAACCAAAAACACAGACCAAATTGAAGTGCAATAATGGAAAAACCAAATTGAACTCGGAAGGACAAACATTGCGTGGAGGAAGAAGGAGAAAATTAGAGAATATACAACCGCAGACAGTGATTTTCATCTCAATTCCCGAAATGGGTTACTCTGCAATCCTCAGAGAGGAAATAACAGACTCCCAAGGGACTCAACTGAATCTATATACAAACCAGACAAGAAAGCTAGCAGAAATTGGAGGGTCCACCACATATCAGAGTCACCAGAGAAATCCCATTTGACAAACCAATCCAATTTAAACATCCCAAGATATTCATACAAGTCAAAGTTACTTGACATGAAGAGGTTCGAGCTATTAAAAACAGAGGTGGAACTAATAGAACCAGATGGCGAGGTAGTAGAAATCATGATAGACAGTGAAGTAGATGACATGAAAAATGTGGAAGCCAAATACAAAGTGGAAACAAGGGAATGAACAGCCATATCCCCCCCATTAGACCATAAGTTATCAATAGTGGAAAGGGAATTCTCAGAATGGAGAAAAGTACAACAGTGAGTATATTTCCACCTCTCCAGGAATGTGAGATGACTCAATGAGCCAAAGAATTTGAGTTTTTGGCTATCGGTCGTGACCTCAAGAAACATGAAAATAATCTATCAAACAATTACTCAATAAAAGATGGAACGCACGTAGCAGATGATTATGGGATCAAGATTGGGGAAAAAAAGAAAAGGATTACAAAATCGGAAATTCCGTGAATTCTTCTTCTCCCTTACTAGTTATACAACTCCAAATCCACATGGTTTCAACACTTAGTTCCACACCCATGTTGCAATAGCTCAAATTTCCAACTCTCTTAACTACCTTAACTCTATGAATTCAGCTATCTACACTCCCTAAACTAACCTCTATAAACTGTATAATATCTAAATCTCTTTTACACAATCGTTCCCATTGGGAGACAATAATATTGAATTGCCAAAATCACTGTACTAAATGCAGAGCTGCCAGATTGTGTTCTCTTTGTGCCCTAAACACTTCGGAGCATAAAAACCTCCCTCATGGCTGCGAATAACCTAAGCAATGGAAATAATACGCAATTTAAGGGATGCCCATTTGATAATTCCATAGAGAGAACCCGGATTTCGCACACAGGTTCTGGGAAATCGCCTACTGATCACAGAAATGACAAGAATCTCTACGGATTCAAAGAAATTAACAGCAGGTTCCAGAAATTTTCGGATGATAGAGACAAATACGAGCATCGTCGTTCCGATTCATGAAGGTTTGATCAGAGAGAGAGATCAAACCTTTTCTGATCATCGTGGCGACGGCAAACGAAGAAGGAAGGATGGAAGCGACAAGAAGAAGAGGTGTTGGAGGACTCCGTGTAGCTTTGCTTGCATCTCTTGCACACCTTCTCTCTTTCTTCTCCCTTTCTCTCTCTCTCCATCTCTCTCTCTCTCTCTACAAATCTAATTGACAATTTCCAGACTTCTTAAAAAGAAATTCATAAAACTCTAATCTCAGCAGTCAAATACATACATATATATGTATTTACTGTATTTTGGTGTAAATCGATTTCTCGTTGAATTTTGGTGTAATCATCTTTCAATTTGTTTTTTCATGAAAAAATATATTTACTGAGGTTGTTTAGTTTCGATTTTGCTTTTATAAAAAAATTAGATTTAAAAATTTTTGGATTTGTCGATTAATTTGTTAGAATAATTTAATTTGGAAAAAATCACAAGCAACACTTTAAACAAAATCTTTTATTTTTTTCAAGGCAATTGACGGATGAACCGTACATCAGCAAACTCCACACACCAAATCGAATCTGAAGATCAAAAGCTTCAGAGACTGAAATAAGCTCTTTACACCAACATCGCCATGGAAATTCCTCCTCCCATATAGAGTGAGATCCCTAAAGATAGGGGGAGAGAGAGGGTTCTTTTCGCGACAGATCTGTGACATCGGCGATGGGTTACGGACGCGCGATCTTCGAAGGATTGGTGGTTACCGGATCGCTGTGTCTCTTGGGATGGACCGGCCTATGGTTCCTGAATCGGAGGCTCTACAAGGAGTACGAAGAGAAGCGTGCCTTGGTTCAGATCATTTTCAGCATCGTCTTCGCTTTCTCTTGCAATCTCTTGCAGCTCGTCCTGTTCGAAATCATCCCTGTTCTCTCTAGAGAGTACGCTCTTTGTCATGAATCTACTACTGTCTGTCTTAACTTATGTCCATTGTTTTGCCAAGACAATCTCAGAAATGGCGGCGACTAGAGAGATTCTTGTTATTTTGTTTTCTGGTTTACGGGGTTTTGAACTCGTTTTACTTCACTCCCCGAGTTGTAGATTTGTTGATAGCCAAAATGTTGACCTAATTTGGCTGCAATAACTGGGTTCCTGGTAGAAAAATGGACGATAATGAAGCAGTTCAGATATGGGTGTTGAGTCGATTTTGGGTTGTCTGTGATTTGGACTTGGTTTATATGAGATTATCTCCTGGGATCAGTCCCTACCAAATTATCATTTTATATTTGATCCATTTGCACTGCAGGGCGCGGATGGTGAACTGGAAGGTGGACCTCTTTTGTTTAATACTGCTTCTGGTTTTCATGTTGCCATATTATCATTGTTATTTGATGCTTCGCAACAGTGGTAAGCCTTGTTCCTTATTTCAATTCTGGTTTATTTATATTTCTGTTGTCCTTTTTTTCCGGAATCATTTAGATATTCATTAGCATTATGGTTGATTCATCTATGATTTTTGAGTTTTCTATGAATTCCTGAAAACGTTTGATTGCATGCTAGTGGACTGGGATTCATGTGCATCTGTTGTGTTTTTTTGCTCCGTAGACAGAATAATCCCGCGTTTTTACGATTGGCATTAAATTTGATTTTGGTTTATTCCGTTCTCACTTTTGCTCGATTTCCAGTTTGGATGGAGATTATGAATATGGTCACATTTATTGTCTTATGGCACATATGCTTTCTTCGTTCTCATCTTGATTAAACCCTAGAGCACCATTGTAGGATCATGTTTTACACAGTTTTGTGCTGTCTGTCTGTATCTTTTTCAACCTACACCATCCTTTCAGGCATAAGGAGGGAACGTGCTGCTGTTGGGGCCTTGTTATTCTTGACAGTGTTCCTTTATGGTTTTTGGCGCATGGGCATTCATTTTCCCATGCCTTCACCAGACAAAGGTATTTCCTAAAATTTATTTACCCTTCCCCTCCTCTCAAGTCTCATCTCTGTATTTATATGCTGCTACTCCTGTAGTAACAACAAATTCTCAGAATAAATTGTTCTCCCTTCACTATGAATTTCTTGTCTCTTTCTGCTTGGCACTGGTTTCTAGATCCAAATATTATCATTTATTTTTGTTTCTGGATGCTTAAGATCCTTTTACCCCTTGTCAGACTTGTTTACTTAGAAGATCGTTTTGCTTTGAAAGGTTTTTTTACCATGCCTCAGCTAGTCAGCAGAATCGGAGTCATTGGTGTGACAGTCATGGCTGTCTTATCTGGCTTTGGGGCTGTAAATTTGCCCTACAGTTATATATCACTCTTCATTAGGTAATTCTATGCTATAATATAATTATTATCCTACAAGCTGGTCTCTAGTCTTTGTCATATTTCTAGTTTCTGGTTTATTCTTATCACTTTTAATGTTTAGTTTTGCTAGAACCACCAATAGAGTACCCTCCTGCATTGAGATTTATGGTTTAGGGTTTGTGCTGCTCACTCAGAAAGCGTGGAATGAGGAAAATTTAGAAGTTAGAAAGTAAAAAGTAGCATTAATTGCGTGTGAAAAAGATATTTATTTGCTCCCCCAGGACAAAAATTGTGCTACAGAGTTTATATCGACCAATAGATGTATCTGAACATCATATGAACTTAAATTCTATAGGCTTGATATGGTGCTGTAAGTATTCATTTGAGATAGCTGTAAGGGATTATAAGGAAGGATTTCATTATCCATGAATGTATAGTGACCTGAACTGATAGGATAGGTAGAGGATTGTATCCAAGAGTTTGAGCTTTAACAGCTCAATTTCTTTCTTTCTTTCTTTTTAAACATACAGGGAGATTGAAGAATCAGAAATAAAATCCTTGGAAAGGCAACTGATGCATTCAATTGAGACTTGCATTGCAAAGAAGAAGAAAATTATCCTCTCTCAGATGGAGATGGAACGAATTCATGGGTCAGAAGAGGTGTCTTGTCATATTATAATTTTATTCATACTATATATATGATTGTTTTTCAATATTTTGTTCTTCTCCTTCTGTTTAGGGTCAAAGTTATTATCTAATCTTGTGGACAAAATATGTCTCATGCTTCTGTCTCAAAATTCTCCTGACCTTAAATGGTTAATGTGTCCAACATTTTTTTCTTTGCATCCATCGACAGGCAGCCTTACAGACATATGTCCTTTATATTTCATATTTAAAAAGACAGGATATATGAGTTCATGTTGGATAGTTTTGCTTGTTATTTTCCGAGTCTTCTATCTACCTGATATCTGCATCCTAATAAAGTTGACATGGTCCATCCTTTGCTAGTTACCGATATTTTTTCTGGGTAATAGGCTTTTTCACTATTTCTGAAATGAGTATAAGACTTGTGCTTAAACTAATTACCTGGTGCTCTTTTTTTTTTTCTAGAAAAACAAAGGAAGATCATTCTTCAGAAGAATTGTTGGGACTGTCGTGCGATCAGTGCAAGATGACCAAAAGGAGCAAGGTCAGTTTAAGTTTTGCTATGTGGTTTTAGTAGTGCTTGGCCAACACTTTGTTACTTAGAATGGTTGAATATGTGCAGTTACATTTGGAGCTGAATTTTTCTCATTCTGTTTGGGTTTTAGTTTAGCTTAACCTTATAATATGAAGTTTGTTGACAGGAATACTTGGGGTGGTATAGTTTATTGGGATATATCTGTGGATTGCAAAATTTTGTGTGGAAAAACAGAAGCAAACATTTGTGAAAGACTTCATATCGTTTTATCTTCAGAGTTTATGATTCTTCTTAACAATTACTGAAGGCTAACACATTCTAGATGCTTTGATGTGAGTAGCATAGCCACTCTTTGAACATCAAAATATATGTTCTTCTCAGTCGTGTTATAAAATAAAGCACACTAAAAGGGCACAAGTATTGTCTGGATTCTCTACTTTGGGGTGTCAATAGCAAAAGATAGAAAAATGTTTCATTAGTGCCTTAGTGGTTTTGGCTACAGGAGGACGAGGACTGATGAAGAGGATTTTCCTTCTGAAAGAGTAACTTTTCTGTTTTTTATTATTGTTATTTGGGAATTTGATTTTATGTGCTTTAAGTAGTTGGCAAAAACAACTGTTTGGTCCTTGCTGCCAGCGTTTTTAAAGTTTAGGCATCGAATCATGCAATTTCTCTGTTTTGTCTTTCATTTGGGAGTGTAATCCTGTGGGCTTTTAAGTGAGCTATTATTACTAACAAAAACAATAGTTTGGTCTTTGTTGCTAGCGGTTTTAAAGTTTAGGCATAGAATCATGCAATTTCTTGAGGATTTCGTATGTGCATGAGATCAGAAAACTTGTCTATTATATTAATGTATCCGCTGGTGACGTGTCTCCATTTTTTTTCTTGGAAAGACATTAAAATAATGGAGGCTGAGGTGGAAGGTTTGGAAGAACTGTCAAAGCAGCTATTCTTGGAAATATATGAGCTCCGTCAGGCTAAGGTTCACTTTCAACACTGTACTTTAGTTTCATTTTCTAGAAACCCGTCTCTTTATACCTTCTGTTCAGTGATATGGCAGAAGTATCTTGGTTTTGGCCGGAGTTTCTTTTGCCTAGCTAGTGCTTATGGTGGTATTGTTATGCTGTAGTATTTTGAAGGTATTTATCTGACTTTGTCTTGTTTGCAGGAAGCTGCGGCGTATTCTCGAACATGGAGGGGCCATGTGCAGAATTTACTTGGCTATGCATGTTCCATTTATTGTGTGTACAAGATGATCAAGGTAAATTCGCTTTGACTTTCTGGTGAGTTATTGGTCTTTGATGGTCCAAACTCTACTTTATCCTAGCATCAATTGTGATTCTGTGATATCCTATATCTTGTGTTTGTGAAAGCTGGCTTCCTGGTCAAGTTCATTTTTTTTTCACTATTTGATGTAGAGTTCAATGTAAAAAGTTGCTTACTTCTTGGAACTTGCTATACCCTCTGAAGAACAGAACTTTCTGTATCCGTATGAGCCCCTTAAAGTTTTTTTGCGAGATTTCAGTTGGTAAACAGATTTAGAAACCTCTTTTCTTGTTACTCAACTGAACCTCGCATTCTGACTGCTTCATGCTTGCTATTACATGTACCAGAAGAAATGTTCTCAGTTCTCTCAACAAATATCTTCTTGATCCTATTTTAACTTGAACAATGATTTCTAACTTCTTTGTTTCTTTCTTTTATTTTTGCAGTCCCTACAAAGTGTTCTTTTCAAGGAGGTACATTCTTGCTCCTACTGTGTTCCTGTGGTCCTATACTTCTGCTGAATTTATGCTCCGTCTGCATGATCTGCTTATTTGTTTTGTGTATTTTCTCTAGTTTGTGGTGCTGCTTATAACTAGCTTGTTTACAGGCTGGTAGGAAAGATCCCATGACTATGATGATCAGCATATTCTTGCAGTTCTTTGATATAGGAGTAGATGCTGCATTGCTTTCACAGGTTTGCTTACTTGCTCTCCATGATGAATGAGTGATACGGCTCATGAATCTCGATATAGCTTATAAAGGTTCTTTATCCTATATAAGGTTTCCGAAATTGAAAGCTATAATTATTTTCTCTCTTAGTATAATATCTCAGCTATCTCTAGGCCTTTCATAGGCTGGGAAATTACGTCCTTAGAAAGTTTTAGTTTTCTTAGATGTGGATAGTTTGAACTGCTATTGATCTTGGAAAATGAGGAAACAAGTTGTTGAATTCATGAATTGATTTTCTGGAGTGTTCTTCTGTCTGACCCCGTTCCTTTTCCTGTTTGCAGTATATTTCCCTGTTGTTTATAGGGATGTTGATTGTGATATCTGTGAGAGGATTCCTGACGAATTTGATGAAGGTAAACTCTGATTGTAGTTTCTCAATTTGTTTTCGGTTTTCTCCCTGTAAATACGGGGGAGGACATTGAAAATTTTCACCGTTCTAGTTGGTGTAGATTGTTAACGCATTTCATTCAAGTCCTATTTAAAGATAGCTAACAAGTTTGTAAACAAAAAAATCTATGCAGTTTACTTCGTTCAAGCAAAACATGCTAGGATTAAAAAAAATGTAGAACTGGTTGTAGAATGCTTAAATAGCTTGTCTGCGGCAGAATTCTCAGTTCTTCTCATTTCAATTTTTAGTCTGATGAACAGAGCTAACGATTTTATATGATTCAGCCCCGTGCCTATCAGATTTGCAAACGGTATTGTTACCTTGTTGGCGACATGTGTTGAATGTTGTTGGGTGCAGTTTTTCTTTGCAGTCTCCAGAGTGGGAAGCGGGTCTTCAAGCAATGTTGTACTTTTCCTATCCGAAATCATGGGAATGTACTTCTTGTCTTCCATTCTTCTCATACGAAAAAGCTTGAGAAACGAGTACAGGTATGCTAAAGACAAATCTGATCTCAAGGAAGATCCGATTGGTTCTCAGTCTTATAGTTCCTCTTAGTCTTTAAGCCAGTTTCCTTCCTCAGGAGGGAAAATATTTGGATCAGATTGGATTAAGTGTTCATAAAGGATTGAAACTGCGTTACCAAAAACTGTTTGCTCATCATCTTGTTGCTTGAAATTTGGCAGGGGAATCATCACGGATGTATTGGGCGGAGACATTCAGTTCGATTTCTATCATCGATGGTTCGACGCGATTTTCGTGGCCAGCGCTTTTCTTTCTCTTCTTCTGCTGTCTGCCCACTATACATCTCGTCAATCGGATAAGCACCCGATCGACTAAGCAAAGCATATGTAAGTTTCCCAAACTCTTCTGTTGTTTTTTGCTCCCGAATTTCAACTGCCTTAATTCACACAAGACCTCTAACGAGTCCTCAGATATGACTATGATATATCGATTTTCGTAAGTCTTTCAATGCGATTGTAGATTTAAACCTCGATTTCCGTTGTCCGTGGTTTTGAAATTGATTGTTAGTTCTCGAGTTTTACATTACCGTGCATCGGAAGTTATCACGTTGTTCGTTCGGTGTGCTGAACAGGATGATGGCTGGGCGAACAGGACTATGAGAGCCGAAGAGGTACCAACTTGCGAATTAACTCTGACCTCTGAGCTTTCTAGTATTCCACTTTTCAACATATTTCGAAAGCTATCACTCTCGAAGATACTACAGATAGATGTGTTCGTTGTTGTCAGGATATAATTTGCGTGGAAAATCTTGGTTGAGTTTACCTACTTTATGTATTATTATATTCATTTTTTAAAAGTGCATATTCATGTTTTACATATTTAATAGAATGTGGAAATAGTAATGGGTATAGATGAGTATCCGAAATTTTGGAGGTCTCTGTCCTCAGACTCAAGCCTCTCGGGTTTTGAGTTTGGAATCCGTCATTGGATCTGGGCCGTTCGAGTACCCTAACTTGGGGTTACTCGATCGGCCAGGGTGAGGGTGAACTTGAGGTCGAGCTCGGGAAAGACGGGGCGATTTAAGGGAAGATAAGAGATGCGAGGAGCAGAGAAGAGATATGCCCGAGAAGAGGTTGTGGCGTCGGAGACTTGAGCCTCGAAAGAGGTTCGCTCCGTCCGACACCTGAGTCCAAATCCGAAAGTCGGGTTCTCGCGGTCGGTAGATGAGAGTACCTGGTCTGGGCCCACAGATAATACTCATTAGTCGTTTTCAGGTCACGTTTTAATCATGGGTTCATTCATCGCAGTGTATTTCCATCCGTCACGTGCGAACCTGACTCACAGACAGTCCATTGAAAGATATCCCCACACACGTAATTATTTAACTAAACCACTATTCCCCTCCTTTACATGTATCAAATCACATTGCAAAACACCTCGTTATGGAGCATCCGATTGCGAGATAATATTTGAACTTTGAGAATTACATTTTGTAAGATTTCATGGAAACTTTAAATTTTAAAACTTGGTCCAAGATTTGTGCAACTAATTATGTTTTTTTTAATCAGAATAAATATGAGATTACTTCTCTTTTAAATGTAAGACAAACTTGACCAAAACCGAATGCAAGATAAAAAAACGTTGTTCGATCTTAATTTTGCATTTTTTTTTTTCAATTCCGTATGCCCCAAATCTTCATAAATCGGAAACTTACCTGTAAACCGAATTGATAAACCCAAATCAAGGCATATTAATAATATATATATATAAAAGGAAGAAGTGAATATTTGTTTGGTTATCACCGATATGATGTTATTGTGATTCCAGTAGCCAAAAATACAAATCAAACAGACCCGTGTCTAATTTTAATACAGGCGACAGCTCACTGAGTGGACGCGCCATATGAATGGAAAGAACACCGGAAATACAGGCGAGACGACCCGCTCGATTGGATTCGCTCCGACTCAGTGTCTCTCCCGAGTCAACTCGTTCCTCCTCTCTCTTCTCTCCTTCATACATAAGCCGTACACTCGTAATTACATCATCCCCATTTCTCGCTTAGACTCATTTCCTTCAATCGGGTCCCTATTTCAGGTCTCGTCAATTTCGCCATTGGGTCCCCGAGAAATTGTAACCCAAAAATTTGTCGGTGGATTGGCCCTCTCCCCTTCCGCGCTCGCTCTTTATAATCCCTTGAAGACTTTCTCCGAGAACCATAGTGTTTCAGATTCAAGGTACGCATTTTCGCCTCTGTTTCTTGCAATTTGACGTTGGGTTTTTCTCGTTTTGGCCCCGAGTTCTTTGGATTACACTTGACACGTTTCATGCAGAATTACGTTAGATTCTGTTTCCGGGTTGTCGATTTCACTTTATTTCGATTCTGCCCATTTGATGGTTTTGCTTGTTTCTCCATGATCTCCCGGTTCTGATCGCGTAATGTTACTTGCTCAATCACGCCAGATTCTGTTCCTGGGTTGTGCATTTCGCTGGATTTTCGTTCTGCCCATTTGAGTCATTATGCGTTTGATCGTCTCATTATGATACAAATCTTACGTAATGTGGATGCGTTTTCTCTGTTTGTGAATAGAGATAACGTCGAAGCTCCAATCTGCTGAATCTCCTCCTGCAAACAATGGCTTCGAACAGTGGCGACGCTAATGCCGAGAAGCCCTTCAGGATCTTCGTGGGTTACGATCCACGAGAAGATATTGCTTACGAAGTATGCCGTCACTCGATCATGAAGAGATCTTCAATCCCTGTCGAGATCACACCCGTTGTTCAATCCGATCTTCGAAAGAAGGGCCTGTATTGGAGGGAAAGGGGCCAGCTCGAGAGCACGGAGTTCTCCTTCTCCCGGTTCTTGACCCCTCACTTGGCGAATTACCAAGGCTGGGCCATGTTCGTAGACTGTGATTTCCTCTACTTAGCCGACATTAAGGAGCTTAAAGATTTGGCCGACGACAGGTACGCGATCATGTGCGTCCAACACGATTACACCCCGAAAGAGACAACGAAAATGGACGGAGCTGTCCAGACCGTCTATCCGAGGAAGAACTGGTCATCAATGGTGCTTTACAACTGTGGACACCCCAAGAACAAGGCCCTGAGCCCCGAGACAGTGAACACCCAGTCCGGCGCCTTTCTCCACAGGTTTCAGTGGCTTGAGGACCAAGAAATCGGGTCCATCCCTTTCGTGTGGAACTTTCTCGAAGGCCATAACAAGGTCGTGGAGAATGACCCGAGCACGCAGCCTAAGGCCATACACTATACCCGTGGAGGACCGTGGTTTGATGCGCTGAAGGATTGCGAGTTCGCGGATCTCTGGCTCAACGAGATGGAAGAGTACGCCAAAGGGTCCAAGGAACAAGCCGGCATTGTGGATTAGGATGAGGGTAACGAGAACTATGAACCTTTGAATTCTTAGGGTTTATGTTCTTTAGATCGGTATGAGTATGGTTTCCGTGTAGATGCAGAGATTATTGAGTGAGGAATTTGATTTTTGTTTGTTTTGTCATTTGGATTTGTGGAATCATATCTGCATCCACATTAAGTTAAGCATGTGTATGTATATGCGTCTCTCATATAAATATCATGTAATAACTTTTTTGTATTATTTTTCTTCATTTTGATAAATTTTGCGTTACAAAAGCATTTTTGTTTTATTGTGACAAATTTTATTATTTTTAAAAAATGTTTAACTAGTTACCAAAAAATTGCACCAAAGATAAATACGCCCGGAAAAAATGGATGAAAAAAAAAGAAGACCCAAGAAATTTCTTCAACTGCCCATCGTCATTGTCACAATTCATATACACATTGACACATATATATATACACGCATACACCACAGTTGGAAATCATTCGCACCACTGCAGCAATGAACACAATCCTCGCCCAGTTGACGCGCACGTGTCTCTCCCCGCGCGTCACGCGCCGACACACCACTCCTCCGCCTCTCCGGCCATCGCACACGAGGGCGGCGCGTGGGACGGCGGATGCGGCGGATTTGAAGAAGGGAATCGCCGGATTCTACGACAAGACGTCGGAGATGTGGGAGGAGATTTGGGGAGAGCATATGCACCATGGCTTCTACGAGCCTCAATCCGACGTCCAGTTGAGCGATTCCGGCCACCGGAAAGCTCAGATCCGTATGATCGACGAAGCTCTGAGATTCGCCGGAGTTTCTGGTTCGTCTTCTTCCTTTTTCTTGTTCTCTTTCC